AAACCAGTCTTGAATGGAAATTCAAACTCTTTAAAGACAACATGCCTTGAAATGTAAACTCTGCCACTAGAGCTTAGACATTTATAGCCTTTGTGGGGTCACCATAGCCAAGGTAAACACATTTTTGAGAGTGAAAGGCAAACTTATGTTTCTGATAGGGCCTGAGGTATGGAAAACTGGCACATCCAAACGTTTTAAGTTGTTTATAATCGAAGATCTTATTGAACAGAGCTTGGTAAGGTGATTAATGGTCCAAGACAGGTGTAGATAGACTGTCAATCAGGTAGGTGGCTGCTTTAAAGGATTCCCACAAATAATAGAGTGGCATGTGAACCTGAGCTAAGAGTGTTAAGCCAATCTCAGTGGTGTGCCTATGTTTGCATTCAGCCCTTCCGTTTTGGACTGAGGTATAGGGGTAGGAATGCCTAAGTTCTATACTGCACTCAAGAGCTAATTTGCGAAAACTTCTGAACTCACCACCTCAATCAGACCATAGAGTTTTAATTTTCCTATCTAGCTTGTTTTCAACAACATTTTTGAACTGAGAAAAGATAGTTAAGGCTTCTGATTTGTTTTTCATGGGGTAAATCCATGTATACCGGCTATGATCATCCACAAAGAGTATATAATATTTAAAACCTGTGGTTGAACTTAAGGGAGCTGGTCCCAGATGTCTGTATGAACAAGTTCTAGTGGGTTAGTGGCATGTGACAGTGAAATGTTAAATGGAAGAGGATGAGACTTCCCAAATTTGCAGGCATCACAGAAAGTAAGAATTTCATTAGTTGTAAAAGTTCTATTATATGACTTAAGGACTTCACTCTTCACATGGTTTGAGGGGTGACTAAGCTTTCTATGCCAAAGATCTAACCCTAAAACTAGGGTTTGATTAGCTGATGGCACTTTGGCATGACTGGAATGAGTTACATAACACTGGTAATTATTTTGGTGGATTGGATTGAGTGGGGTTCTTTCTGACTTGAGGGCTGGCAACTGCAACTAATACAATCCGTCCTTAAGTGCTCCTTGCAGCAAGATCTTCTTCGTTTGGAGATCCTTCACAACACAGCAATTAGCATAGAATTCCATGAATATACTATTGTCATTGGTCAACTGAGAAACACTAACCAGATTCCTTTTAATCGAAGGCACATGTAAAAGTTTATTTAGCTCAAGTGATTCATTACTTAATGTGGAGATCTTACCATTTCCAATATGAGCAATATGTAACATACCACCATTACCAACAACCAGTTTTTCTTTGCCTTCATATTTTTTTACAACATTCAAATTATATTTATCTGAAGTCGCATGGTTATTGGCACCAGAATCAACAAACCAGGCTGGATCTTCAAGTACCCCTGGTGATGCTACATAGGCTGAAGGTGTTGAGTTGTGGTTTTGTTGTCCTGAGTTAATCAGTTTGCCTCCCATATACCTCTCATCGTACTTGTTATAGCACCAGCTTGTAGAGTAATTACTCATACTACAGATTTGACAAGGCCCTCTAGTCTCACTTTTCCTTCCAGTTGTGTTTCTACCTCTGCCCCTTTTTTTGCCTCTAAAACTTGGGAATCTGCCACTACTGGTTCCTCTAAAACCTCTGTTAAAGCCTGAACCAATTCGATGTGCTAACTGGATGCTTGATTGATTAGCATTGAGCGATGTGAAATTATTCTTTACTTGATTCAGATGTTCAAGTCGACTCTCAAAGGTCATGAGCACCGATGATAGCTCATACCAGGAAACGGTTTCTCTGATAGTTATCTGAACCATTATAGGTGTATATTTCTCATCAAGACCTGATAGAACTTGTGTGATAAGATCACTTTGATCAATAACCTTACCTGCTATCTCCAGATTATTAGCCAACTGCTTGATGGTAGTCATATATTGGTCCATTGTCATGGATCATTTTCTAATTCTTTGCAGCTCACAAGTTAGAAACATCACACGTGATCTGTTCAATATTTCAAAACTTTCCTCCACAGCTATCCAGAGTTTGTTCGATGTATTGCATCCCATAACTTTCATGGCAATTTCTGGAGTCATGGATGAATATAGTCATCCCATAAGCAGTTGATCAGATGAGTTCCACTTCAGAAACTCTGGATTTTGGGTCATCTCAACTGCTTCTCCCTAACCGACTGTAGTTTGGGTGGCTAGAAATTTAGGAGGACACTCCTTTGTCCCCAATAGATATCCTTCAAGATTATGCCCTTTGATTATGGGCATAATCATATTCTTCCACAATAGGAAGTTTTTTTTATCAAGCTTCACTGAAGGCGTCTGAGTTATGTTCATTCCATAAGACAAGCTTGTGACGGCTACTGCCTGAATGCTAGGAGCTGTATTGAATTCAAATTGATTGCCAGATTCGGTGTTAGCCATGTTGGCTCTGATACCAAGTTAAAATCTGATAGAAATGAATCTAAATTAATTGATTATCAGTGGCCATTGCACCGTGATATATACAAGAGAATTAGTAGCAAGGAATGTTCTAGAAATGAACAATAAAACTGAATCTAACAAACTCTAACAGCTGGCTAACAAATTGCTTCTAATTCCTAAAAATCAGGTAGTGCAATTCTGCTGATATCCTTCCTTCATGTCGTGAGATGGCTGAAGAATAATTCTAACTAACATAAAATAGTATATGACTCAGGTCACATATGAAAAATCCAGTAAAAATTTCTGGTTCTTAACACAATGTCAAATAAGGTAGGTCACAGTTCATCATATGACATTTGCAACATAAATCGGACATATTTTATTAGATCATAATTAGACAGGAACTGAGATTATCTTATCTCTCCTATTTTCGACGTCATCTACCTTCTTCGCCTGATCAACACTCCTTGTTTGAGTCATTGTGTAGGTTTTTGTGTATATAGATATCACAGAGGATGGTATAGAGAATGACGTACAAATGTTATCAAGTTGTGTATAAAATAGAGAGAGAAGTGAGGTTTGACGGCAATAGCTAGGAGATCTGTACATGACGACGACGAAGACGACGAACGAATGTGAGATGAGTGACAACGAAAGAAGAAAACGTGGGTTTTGAAGAAGATGCATCAAAGTTGTTAGAAATAGATTATGAAAGATATTGTGCCCTTGGAAAATGGAATCCTACTTACTGTTACACATGTTAATTATCCATAAGGTTTGTGCTATGGGACACCCCTATGGGTACATCCATAGCATTTTCCTTATCCATAATTAGTTAAAACTGAATTAGTTATAACTTTATTATTAATTTATAAATATTACTATTTTAAAAATACATTATCACTTGATTTTTGTATAAACAATTCTTAAACTTGATTTTCAAAATTGGAAGTTAAAAAAAATGGGTAGATGTAATTTCCACAAACTTTAATCCTATTTTACTCGAATTAAAGTGTGGCCGGATCACATGTAAATTTCATCTTACAATCATGCTATACAAACCGGCTCAAAGACATGTTTAAAAATAGGATGACACATGTCGATACATGATTGGACAGTTTGAAAAAAATAAAAATACAACACTCAATTATTATCTGTCACATCATCCCGTCCCTGCATCCCTGTCTTTGAACCTGTCCAAGGATTATTATTCTTCATTTAAATAAAATAGGACCAATGGTTGATCAGACCCTTAGTCAGATGATGCGCTTGGTCATTGGTATAGACCGTTTGACCTTCGAGTTCATTGCAAAATACTCGTTTATATTAGGTAAAAATGAAGACCGTTTGACTGTTTAGTTTGACGTGACCTTCCTATTTGTATTGGACACACTTGAAGATTGTTTAGTTCGGCATGACCTTCCTATTTTTTCATAGTGCTGGCATCCTTACGATAAAGGTCAACCCCCATCTCCTCCCTCCCCACACTTTTTTTGAAAAATTATGAGGATTTATTTTTAACCAATGCTAGAAATCTACCCATCTTTCGCGGCGGTATTCATGGATTTTTCTTCCACATTCATGAAAAATCGATGAATCTGAAGGGAGAAATCCCCTTGATCTTGTGGTAGGAATATGATGCTGGCCGTGGTGGTGAATCTTCAGCAGCAGTGGTGGTTGTTTGATGTTGGCCAGCGATATACCATGGATAGTTGATTATAGAAGGAATTTTTGATACTTGAGGTGGTGCTGACATTTTGTGACTCGGGGTAGTGGTTGATGATTTTGGGTCTCGGATAGTGGCCGATTATTTTGGGGCTAGTCATTGAAGACTTTTTCTACTCTTTTCTATATTTTTTCGTATTTGATATTTATTTATTTAGAGTTATGAGCAAGAGTGTTTTTTACCACATTTTAACAGAACTTTTTGACGAAATATGAAGATTGTTTATGCTAATTATCGAAAGGTTGTGAATGAGATTGTGATGAAAGAAGGTTTGAGGGAGGAACTTTTTACCATGAAATTTTTTGGCTTAAAGGCATGTTCTTTTATCTCATATAATCTATTACACTTGAATAATGTCAGCTAGAAAAATATCACATCACGTAGAATCTACAAAATCCGCTCAAACAAAATATATAATAATGTTTGGTTTGAAATGAACTAAAGAACATAAATAGACAAAGTGATCATCGTCCATCACAACATTAATTTCCTTATCCAATTTTACAAGTTTTTTCCAATTTTTTGATTCATGAACCAGAATGGACGGTTGGTAATAAATGTCAACGGCAGGGACCATGCATATGTAGTTGGCCAACTTTTTTTTTTTTTTTGTAATTAGTCCACCAACTACAATTTCTTTGTTCCTTCTCGTCAAGATATAGACTCGTTCCCACTTCTTTAGTTAAACCAATATTTCAAAGATTAACTCGAGTATTGAACAAAAGAATGTTGATGAATTATAGTGATTTTAACATCGAACAGAATTTTGAAATTGTAGGGAGATTTTCATGATTAGATACGTAAAGAAGAAAAATAATCTTTCATTAATATATAGTTTTCTTGACATTAAAAATTAACATATATTACATTTGAAAGACAACATCTATGCAACAGGGTAGCGATCAATACAATCAAACCATGGGTTACCTTCGCCCTCTTTCGCGGGAATTTCCCTCAGAGCTCTCCAAACTGCACTATTGCACTTGAATCCCGACCCGAACGCAATTTGCCACACCCTATTCCCACTCGAAACCCGTCCTTTCGCCTCGGTATAAGCCAACTCATACCACAACGAGCTACTCGAAGTATTTCCAAACCTGTGCAAAGTCATCCTAGATGGTTCCATGTGCCAATTCGTCAGTTGCAGATTCTTCTGTATCTCATCCAACACGGCCCGACCGCCTGCGTGTATGCAAAAATGCTCGAAAGCGAGCTTGAAATCGGGTATATATGGCCTCACCTTAGCTCGAAAGACCTTCTTCTTGATTAAAGTAATAAGAAACATGAATTGTTCAGAGAAGGGTAATACTAAAGGCCCCAGTGTGGTTATATTCGTCTTCAAAGCATCGCCAGCGACTGCCATTAGTTCACGAGCAAGCGAAACCCCAACTGCACCTTTATCATCCTCTCTTTGGTACACACAGTTGTAGCTATTATCGCCTGCACCTTTATGGGTTCGAACAGTATGGACTAGCTGATATTTTGATCGGGCCTTGTCCCGGGCTTTGTTCGAAAGAAGAACCGCAGCCCCGCCCATGCGGAATATACAGTTGCATAATAGCATTGAACGATCGTTTCCAAAGTACCAATTCAAAGTTATGTTTTCAGTACTTACAACAACTGCATACTCATTAGGGTTAGCTTGGAGGAGATGTTTTGCGAGGTCGATTGATATTAGGCCCGCACTGCAGCCCATTCCGCCTAGATTGAAGCTCCTGATATCAGTTCTAAGCTTATAGTGATTCACAATCATCGAAGATAGAGAAGGTGTTGGATTGAATAAGCTGCAGTTAACAATAAGAATCCCAATGTCCTTCGGTTTCACTCCGGTCTTATTAAACAACGAGTCCAACGCACCAAACATGACAGCCTCAGCCTCCAATCGGGCTTCTTTCATCGACAGGTTAGGAGGTCGGGATGTAATACCCCTTGGGAAATAGGTCTCATCGCCTAGCCCAGACCGGGATGATATTCTTTTTTGGAACTGAATTGTCTCCTCCTCGAAAGCACCATTCTCTTCTGTCATCTTTACGAAGGAATCCACCGACATTTTCCGTTCATCTTCGGGCTTGTAACATGCGAAATCGACCAAATAAACGGGCCTCGGTTTCTTAGCCCAATACAGGCCTAACAAGAACATCAACAGAGTGGAACCTATTACAACTGTTGCAGTATCAAAAAGTATTGTTTGATTCCTCCAAATATCAGAAAACATGTTGAATTTTAGACCAGTTATTTGTACAGCAGTGGTTATGACCAAAGGGAGTACTACAAGGAATAGAAGAAGAGTGGCAGTGTTGCATGAATAACCATATCCTAATTTAACATATTTGAGCTTCACGGAGTGTAAAAAATCCGGCAATTTTCGCCGGATTCTTATGACGACCGATGATGAATCTTTAAAAGCCATGTCGGCCGTTAATCTCTCTTCATTCATGTCTATGCTATCCATATGGATTTGCTTTTTTGTTGGTATTTTTGAGAAGATAAAGAAACAGGTTTGGTGTATACAGTTTATTAAAGCTTGCAAGAAAGGAAGAACAATTGCCTGTCCCTTTAATAGTGAAAGTGCTGAAGAAAGGATACACAGATAGCTCAACTACCAATGGTAGAGGGAAGGAGAAATAATACTATTATCTTCCTTAATCTGTCTAACCTTAGTTTGTTAATTAATTAAGGTAGGGCTATCGACCAAATTGCCATGTGAGAATGAGAGATTTCTTCCAAGTAATAATCAATTTTAAAGGTTGTCAATTGCCCCACGTGCCAGATCTTGAGATTATACATGCACCAATTATACTATTTGTATAATCATATTTAGACCCTGTTTGAACCACCTTTTTTGTAGAACGAGAATGAAAAATATAGTCGTTATTGGGACAAAAGATAGAACATTTGAATTTAAATGTTGATGTGATGGATAACGATCATTTTTTTTCATTTTGATGAGATAAAAATGTGGCCCAAACGAGGGCTTAACAATAACGATTAACAATATTGATGTCGTCAAAATTCGAGCTGTTATTTAAAAAACAATTTTTGAAATGAATATATGTGATGTTGTCAGGTGTGAATTGTCAATAACGCTGAGAGAGGTTCATAAATGCCGGTGAGAACAGATGGCTGTCTACCAATAAACAATGGCTGTCTACCAATAAACAAATTAATTAATGTCTTAAATGTAAACGCCAAAATCAATGTCAAACTCCAATGGGCAATAGGGGTTAATAAGTTTTCCAAGTGCTAAATGAATCTCTAGTCTTTATTTTATGTCGCCGATATTCAAAATATTTGGTAAAATATGCCGTCCAATGACTTTTTTTCCTTCTTTATGATTTTCATTGAATATTACAATTTACAGAGTACAAACCTAGGAAACTAATTATTCTTTAATTGAGAGATTCCTACAACTGTACAATCCCTCGTTCTCAGTAAAAATCTCAACACATAAGTTTGTGCATGCATGGGCAGATCTACAGTAGGGTCTAGTGGGTCACGTACCCCACTAGGTTTTGAATTTTTTTTTTTTTTAATTTTTAAAGGAAATAACTTCCTGATTGAATTCAAAACCCTCGTCTCTCGACTCTCTCCTGGTGGTAACTCAAAAGTTGGGTGGAGGGGGCACGTGCCCCTGGTGGTAATTTCTTTCTCAATTATTCTGAAATTGCGTGTGGGGTGATGGTCGAGATTGGTTTTTGGGGGTGATGTGACAGATGTCGATTCTTTTATTTTTTCTTCGTGGATTCTTTTCTATTTTGTTTCTCTTTTTTAATTATTTCAATAATTGTAATTGTAATAAGGAGGAAAGATCTTTCTTCTCTTCCAAAAGGCGGACAACTGTAATTTAAGGTCCTTGTAAATTTTTCTAAAGGTTCGGGACGGAGGTATTAAAAAAATAAAGGCTAAGGACTTATTAACACTGTCTACTAAGATAAGGGATCCCACTGCATTTTTTCCTTAATTTTAGAGTAATACTATTTCGCGTCACTTGTGTTACAACACCGGTTTAAGTGACACAAGTGTCATTAAATGACGGTTAGAACTAATGAATCATATAATTTCACATTTAATTGAATATATCACATAAATCAGTGTTATAGCATTATGGTACTATATAGAATTATTCTAATTTTATGGAGATAATGCCCGGTACCAAAAAAATAAAGGCTAACTACTTGTTTTCACTTTCTACTAAGGTAAGGGACCCCACTTCATTTTTCCCTTAATTTTATAGTAATACTAATTACTATTTAATGTTACTTGTGTTACAATCAATGTTCTAAAATGTGTAATGCGTTGCGATACGTTGAGGTCGAGAATCAAGAATCACAAGTTTAGGTGTGTCAATGCGAAGAATAAGCACATAATGCGTTTCGTATTTTTAAGACATTAAATATATTTTTATATAAAAAAAAATTACCAAAAAAAAATATATATATTTTTGTTCTAAAATGCGCGGACAATGCGCGCCTAGGTGCGCATAATGCGGGACAATGCGCGCCTATGCGCATGCATTTTCGAACAAAAAATCCAAAAACACATTTTCCGCGCATTCCCCGAATTCGACGCGTTTTTCCCACGAGTCGCTCCTAGGCGGCGCATTTGCTCGCCTTTTAGAACACTGGTTACAACACCAATTTAGGTGGCACTAAGTATCATAAAATGAAAGTTATAAGTAAATGAATCATATAATTTCATTTTTAATTGAACATATCACATAATGCTACAAATATTGGTATTTTAGCACTACTTGTGCTACACTATTATTATAATTTTATGGGGATAATGCCCAATACCAAAAAAAAATAAAAAATGATACTAATAAATAAAGACTATGGACTTATTTTCACTTTCTACTAATGTAAGGGACCCCACTGCATTTCCCCTTAATTTTATTTTTATTGTAAGCTTTTCTATCTTCTTATATATTTTCTTTACATTGATAGGTTACAAATAAATAGAATAAGGAAAAACTATTATTAGCTATACAACATATTCTTGGCTAAACAAATACTGTGGTTGGAATTGTGGGAATTTCTTTAATAGAAGGAATTCCATATTTATTCCTAAATTGATTCTAATAGCTCATGCCAACATTCTCCCCCAAGTTGATGTATACAGATCTCTGATGTACAACTTGTCAAGTGACCTCGAGAATTCTTTATTAGATACCATTTTTGTGAGTATGCCTGCCAACTGGTCTTCAAATTTCACAAATGGGAATCGAATTATTTTTCCCTCCAAATTCTCCTTGATGAAATGTCCACCTCCACATGTTTGGTGCGATCATGCTAAATCAGATCATGCAAAGTAGTAATTGCTGCATTGTTGTCACAGAAAAGATCAATCTCGAGAGGTAGGGCGAAGTCCATCTAGATAAGTAGTCTCCCGATCCAGAGAAGTTTACAAAGTCCCTTCTCTATCCCTCAGAACTTGACTTCTGATCTTGATAGTACCACTACTTTCTGCTTTTTACTTCTCTATGTAACAAGATTTCCTCCAACAAATATAAAGTAGCCTGAAGTAGATTTTCTGTCTAAAATATTTCCTTCCCAATCTGCATATGTGTAGCCATGCATTCTGAGGTGATTATTCTTTGAGAACATAAGTCATTTTTCTAAGTCAGGACTTTAAGTAACTAAGTATTCAAATTACTGCCTCCATCTGCTCTTCGCTTGGCTTATGCATAAATTGACTTACAACACTCACTGCATATGCAATATATGCGCGACTATGAGAGAGATAAATAAGTTTTCCCTCCAACCTTTGGTACCTTCCTTTATCTATTGGTATCTGATCTGGATACCCTCTAAGTTTATAGTTCTGGATAGTTGGAGTATCTATCGATTCTAACATTCCCACTTCAATCAGTAAATCCAACACGTATTTTCTTTGCGATAGAAATATACCTTGCTTTGATCTGGCTAAAAAATATTTGAGCCTTCCTAAATTCTTCATCTCGAATTCAGTTGCTAGTTGTCTCTGAATTTAGGATATCTCTTCCTTATCGTCTCCTGTGATAATCATGTCATCTACATAGACTATTAAAACAGTTCACTTGCCAACTTTATGCTTTAAGAATAGTGTATGATCTGAATTACTTTGCCTAAACCCATACTTCTTCATTGCTAAACTAAATTGTCCAAACCATTCTCGAGGTGATTGTTTCAACCCATGCAATGATTGCTGTAATTTGCATACTACTCCGGTCTTTGAGGATGCTGTGTAGCCCAGAGGAATGTCCATGTATACTCCTTCTTCAAGATCACCGTGCAGGAATGCATTTTTCACATCAAACTGCTGTGTAGACCAGTCGAGGTTAGCTACGAGAGATAATAGTACTCTAACAGTATTCAATTTAGCAACCGGTGAAAAAGTCTCTTGATAATCAACTCTATATGTTTGTGTATAGCATTTTGCCACCAATCTTGCTTTGTATTGTTTAATGGAACCATCTGCCTTGTATTTGATGGAAAACACCCATTTGCACCCTACTACTTTCTTTCCTTTGGGTAATGGGACCAAAGTCCATGTGTCATTTTTTAGTAACGTCTCTATCTCTTCTTTCATTGCCTAAGCCCATTTTTTATCAGATAAAGCTTCTTGAACTCCATTCGGAACATGATTTGGAGAGAGTACATGTGCAAATGCTCTAAGAGGTTCAGAAAGTTTCATGGTGGACATGTAGTTGGCAATTGGATATTTTGACCTCCGTTCCTCCATACCGGAGAATATCTATTTGGTAGCTTACCACAATTATGCTTGATAGGTAATATATAACCAGCAGGAATATCCAAATCATTTAAGGATGTATGAAGAGTGCTTACCTCGAAGATATTCTTAGGACACGGGTCTGTAGGTACTAAAGGAAAAAGGGGGTCTGGTTCAGCTTCTAAAGGTGTAATGTCATTCTCTGAAGGTATAGTGCCATTCTTTGAAAAAGCATTCATATCAGTTGTCGGCTATGGCATTGACGAGTTCTGTTCAACTGCTTCATTCGACCCTATATTGAAGTTTGGCCACTCAAGGTGTAGCTAATTTTACTTTTCATCCTATTTCTCTCCTTGAAGAGAAGAATTGGTACCGAACGAAAAATAGGGATCAATGGTAGCCTGTTTGGTGCAAACCATATCCCTAAAACAAACACCTAAAAGCACAAGGATCAAGTTTTGTCCATTGGTTCTTCTAAAGATGTACATAGATCACACAGCTAAATACTTGGTGAGGAACATAAGATACTAGGACCTAGAGAAAAGCTTAAAGTTCAAGACTTTGGAGGGCATTTGATTAAGTAAGTGTATGGAAGTGGATACTGCATCAGGCCAGTATTAATGAGGTAGTGAGTGCCATATAGCAAGGTCCGTGCAGTTTCGAGAATATAGCAGTTCTTCCGCTCAGCTATGCCATTTTGTTGAGGTGTCTAGGGGCAAGACATCT